TTACCAATTTATTAGCTGGTTCATTCCCTATAACTAGAGGCAAGGCAAAATTAGGTCGCTCTCTAGCTACCTGATCCTCAGTATTTTGACACTTTTTTGGTTTTTTCTTTAGGCCACTCATGTGTTTTTCTGTATTTTCTCTTTTCAGAACAATTTGATGTGGTGGTTATCGTGTGGGCAGGGTGTCATGTTTGGGCCCTCCCACACAATATATTTGTATTCTACCTATCGTCTTCCTCGCTCGGCTCTGCTAGGGTTTCGCCCGATGACGAACCCTAGCAACAATTACGACTTCAATCTCTCTAGCTCGCGTGTTCTTCTTCACGCTCGAGTTCATCTCTCCCATTTCTTCCTTCCCCGGCTCACTTTGAGACGAGGCTCGTCTCCCGCTCGATTCTGCGCTCTGCTCCTCTGCGACCCGTCCCGCCCCTCGCTTATTCGGCTCTCTCGGGAAACTGCTCCGTTCGCGATTCCTGCGTTCTCTGCGCTCGTCCCGTCTCACCGCGTCGTCCCCTTTTTTTAGCTTCGACTATTTCGTTGCTCGTCTTCTTTCTTTTCTTTCTCTAAATATCTATCCTTGAGGATGGCTTCGGATAAAACATATGCAGCTACCTTTGCCGGTGTACACGCCTCAGGCACACCAAAATCATCATATTTCCCTCCTTCGTTTGAGTGGGCGGAGGACGTCAAGAAACCTGGTAGAAACTTGGTATGAAGAATAGGAAGCCCGCTATCTTTTTTACAGAAACTGAAGGTATTCAACTTGCTTCCTCCAGTCGTCTGAATTTGGTTGGGAAATTTCTATATGGACATCCCAAAATAGAGCTCATTCGCAAAGAATTTGAACTTATGCACCTTGTTGGAGAATGACAAATTAGATTATTAGATGGGAGACACGTTCTTATTCAAATTAGCAATGAAGAAGATTACGTGCGCTTATTTGCTAGAAGGATAATATAGATTGATAATAAAGCAATGAAGATTCTGAAATGATCTGTAGATTTTAACCCACAGACGGAACTGCCAATCATTCCAATTTGGATTCGTCTCCCTGGTTTGAAATTTCATTATTTTTCTCAAAAAGTATTGTACTCTATTGCCTCAGCTTATGGGAAGCCACTCAAGACGGACATTCCCACTTTTAATCTGTCTCATCCTTCTGAAGCCAGAATACTTGTTGAAAGAGACATCACTTCACCTGCATCTGAGGAAATCTAGTTGGGCACACAACACTAGAGATATTGGCAGAAGGTAGAGATTGAAAATTTTCCTCGTATTGTTCAAACTGTCGTATATTCGGACACTCCAGTTCTCAATGTCACCATCTACACCTCCAACTCGGACCAAAAAAGCAAACTGCTCAGCTAGAGGTGATTTCATCTCCTCCTGATCAGACAGGCAACATGACAACTATTCAATCCCCAATTGTAGCTCCCTCGTCTTTGGAACCTCCTATCATGGGGGAGAGGGAGCTTCTTCAGACCCCGCCTATCCTAGAACCTATCACTGATAATACAGGTGGAAATACTTCTGCTGCTTCACAACCGCCTCATTAGGTCCAGAAAAATGTTAATATTACTCAGGCTCATGGGGATCAAAACGTGCAACGACCTACACCTATCCGACCACCTTTGGAATCTACTGATCATATGAGTCAATCATCGGATGAGGAATGGCAAGTCTACACATCTAAAAGGAAGAAGAAGAATGAAGATCTACTTGAGCTCAAGAATCAGATGGATGATACTTTGGTTACTACACGGGCAATGGTACAATGGTACACACCTTACCAATTTGTTAGCCGGCTCATTTCCGAGAACTAGAGGGAGGAGAACTAAAGTGGGACATCTCTAGCACTTTTGTGACATTTTGTGTTTTTTGATTTTTTACCTTTTTCTATCTTTGCTTTATCTGGATTTGATGTGTGTTGTATTGTATGAGTTGGGCTTTCTTTTAGGTCATCTCATACAACATTTCTGTATCTTTTTCGTATTAATATATTTACCCTCGAGCTTTTCCTAATATATATATAT